CGTTTTAAAATAAATTTGTAATTCATTTTATTCACTTTTAGAAAGCACCGTAGATGAATAGAATTTTCCGCAAAAAGAGGAATCGCTCGTAATTCGCAAACTTTACAAATGATGACATGTAAAGCACAATGAATAACTATCACAAGTCAATAAATACAATAACACAAGTCAGTAAATATGGATATTGTTTTGTTTGAAGTAAAATACACACAGTATTTACTTGGTACAAAAAATATTTACTAGGTCCACAGACAAATGTGAGTTGGTGCGAAATACTTGAAATTTCTTCTTTAAGATTCGTTGCATTTTCTTCGCAAAAGCTTCCTGAAAGTCCCGCCCCCCTTTAATTTTCTACCGCCGCCTACTTAACGGCGAGAAATTCTGTCAGTCGTCCATCATGTCTCCCCCCTATCCATCCAACTTCTTCGCTCGCTTTCACTTCGCAACCAAAACAGTAAACAAAGGAGTCTGTTACTGAACNCAAAAAGAGGAATCGCTCGTAATTCGCAAACTTTACAAATGATGACATGTAAAGCACAATGAATAACTATCACAAGTCAATAAATACAATAACACAAGTCAGTAAATATGGATATTGTTTGTTTGAATTAAAATACACACAGTATTTACTTGGTACAAAAAATATTTACTAGGTCCACGGACAAATGTGAGTTGGTGCTAAATACTTGAAATTTCTTCTTTAAGATTCGTTGCATTTTCTTCGCAAAAGCTTCCTGAAAGCCCCGCCCCCCTTTAATTTTCTACTGCCGCCTACTTAACGGCGAGAAATTCTGTCAGTCGCCCATCATGCCTCTCCCAATCCATCCAACTTCTTCGCTCGCTTTCACTTCGCAACCAAAACAGTAAACAAAGGAGTCTGTTACTGAACCTTTTTCTCTCGTACGAACCAGGTCAAGAATTCACATACAGGCTCCGTTAATTCTGTAAGAGATGCATCTGGCGAACGGGAAAAAACGTTCTACTGTAATAAGGTTAACATCAGACTATCTAAGTTAGCTCCCTTACCCCCTAACAACAGAGACCTTTTTGTTTCGCCAAAGAAACCAGGCAATATCTTACTTGCATGTAGTTTACATTTTGAACCAAGCCAGCTTACATACATCTGTTTGCCACAAAAAGGAGGAACAGGTTTACGTTGTTCGTCAGCCTCTTGAATGTCCTGGCCAACATTTTATTCAGCAGTTACCACAGCAGTTAAAATCCCCAGATCGTTTGCTTGCGAATACAGCTGACTTTTTCGTTCTCAGTTTCTCGCTTTATTACACAGTTATATCACACAAGTATAGACGACCAAAGCGAGGTTGACCATAATAATATCCTCAGTAAATACACGCGGTGTGTATGTTTGAACAGTCGAACAACTGGAATATGTGATATGACACCGTCAGAAAAATATGCGCCTTAACCATTTAGGTACAATAACATATTCAGTATTGACTCTGGGTTTAATAAATGCAAACCATAATTTGTGAAGTAAGAGTCATTTAGCATTGTCTTAGTAGTTGAGGTAGAACTGTCTTTGGAGGATAGGTCCGCAATATGCTGAGTCAAATCCACAAAGAACTATTTGACTTGAATATACACGCAAAATATTTTGACGAGCTGGAGTACAGCACGTATGGGCTATTTATACATGAATATTGATAAGACATTTTGCTTTGTTGTTCATCGTTTATATAATTATTCAAATGTGCAGACACGCACATCAAAACAAACTTGAACATTCGACAAGAAGGACGCATCGCTGATTTTGCCTGAAACGTTGAAAAGGTAAGATTTCTGAAACAGGTGTTTATTAGCTTATCGCTACTGTACTGTGTAGAAAACGTTGATTGAACGTTGGTGGAGAATTGGTCTGTTAAAATAAGGTGGTTAAAGATCGGTTTGAAAAATAGCGTCTTTGTTGCCTCGCAGCTCTTTTCCTTTCGCTGCGAAAACTGATGAACCTTCTATGATTGTTTAAGCATCACAATGGCGTATTTAAGTAAGATGTGGATGCACAGAACGTTATCTCTTTCAACCAGAAGGAAAATATGCATAGTATAGATAAGAGCTCGAGCTTTGATAACCTTTTTTTAAATATTTTCTGCTTAGACGTGCAATGGAACAGTACGCTTTTATGAGTTCGTGCACTGAAGCGAAGAAAGGGCGACCGCATGCATCGAAGAAACTGTTTAATTACTGCCTTATCGAGCAAGATACTCAGTTAACAGACTGCCCGCAGTAAAAAGCTGTGATCTCCTTGTGTGGTAATCATGATCATTTCCAAGCAAAAGCTGCCATTCAGGACTAAGGAAACTTCGGCGAAAGCTAAGGTTTTGTTTTTATTTGGCTAGAGCGGTGAAGCCTAGAACAGACTGGTATGATCGAGCATTTCCCTTTCGTTTAAATTCTACTAGTTTAACAAATGAAGGCTCTTGACTAGGACGAATTAAGCTGCTTGTTTTAGCTTCCATCATAGATAGCAATACCAGCTTGACTGTTTCATTTTCAAACGGCATACACTGTGGATTATTCCCCCTCCCCCACCCCCCCTCCCCTCCCTCTTTGACTGAATAAAATCTAATTTATTCTGTCCTTCTCAAAACCGGAGTCCTTGAATATTAAATACAGAAATTAAATATCGTCTTTTTCACCCGTAGCCTTTTTAGCAAGAGTTCTGCATTCTGAAATTGAAAAAATTGGGGAGGAGAGGGACGGTTCTTCTCCCCTTACCCTTCCCTCATCCTCCCCTCGTTTTATTTTTTGCCCTCGTCCCAATATTAGCGCTGCCAAAATATGGACACTCTAAATAAGTACCTGAAAGAAACATTAAACGATGGGTTTTGGGACTTAGGGCATTGCATTTAGTTCTGCTCATGAAACATGTAATCTGTCAACTCTTTCCTTTAACGGAGTATTACACTTGAAAAATGTACCCTTTCTTGTTAGCCCCGTATGCTTGAGAAGGCGAAGACGTTTCCACTTCAGCTTCTATATTTTTCAGGAAAAGGAAAGAGAAGGTCTCTTAACACGGTCAATGCAAGTTGTGTGTCTATGAGTTCAAATAAATTAATTTGCAAATTACTTTAGATATCTTGTTAAATTATATTCAAAATAAT